TGTAAACCCGACGCGAAAACCTGGTGAATAAACCCTAAACCCTGACATCATGCTCTTCATAACTTAGGGAATGGTTTAAGGATGTGAGGGTCTGATATGCAAGAAAGATTCTTCGGTTTCTCGTAAAAGCCCTTGCTGCATGACACAAGAAACTTACCCACTTGGTCTGTGCAGGAGACAACTCCCGCCGAGCAAGTTTTTCTTCGACCTTTTGCACGTGTACTACACGGCCGGAGGCTGTGCAGCAGTGGAGATGGCAGCCATCATCCACGAGGCAGAGCGAGTGCTGCAGCTATCTGCAGACTCATTGGCTTCGCTCCTGGAAGAGTTGCCATGGCAAGTTCCAAGCCACGTGCTCGGATTGTCTGGCCCCCGCTCTAGAGCAAGACTCCTGCAGTCAGCGAGGCTCCCTGCGAAGTCCTACAAAGGAAAAGCAGCTCACGTCATGCAACTGCTACCCATGATCCCTGCCTTGCTGGAACTGTTGGACGACTGCGAAGGGCTCCTGAAGCCTTTGGCAAGCTTCGAAGCTTTGCTGAAGATTCACTGGGAACTCAGCAACCTGAAGCGATTGGAAACCATCCCCGACACTGCGAGACTGCAGCAGCTCCAGCTGGAGCACCACGGCCTCTGCATCGCTGCTTATGGTGAAGGAATAATGAAGCCAAAGCACCACTGGCGGCATCATGCAGCCAAGCAGATAGAAGCCTGGGGAGCCTACATCGATACAAGCGCTCCTGAGGCGAAACATCAAGTCTACAAGGGAGTTGCAAACAAGAACTTGGATCTCTTGGTGTCCTCACCAAAATGGTCCAAAGCAGTGTTGAGCCGCATGCTCTGCTCCTGCTTCGAGCAGTTGCAGACGCACTTCGACAGCCGTGCCAAGGTTTGCTGCGGAAAGGAAAAGAAGGTCCAATGGGGCCAGCAGACCCTCAGGACATTCCAAGCAGTCCAATGGAAAGGCTTGCACTGGAAGCCAGGTGATTTCCAGCTGGAGCCTTTCCCAGGCATGGTCGTGCGCTGCTGCGTGAGCTCTGCTGAAAAACCATTCCTGTTGCTGAGGGAATATGTCATGGAGCAGAAAACTCGTTTCAGCCAAGTCTTTCGCAGTACAGCTAGGGTGCGACAGTTGCACGACATATGTCGTTCCAAACTGGCTTCCTGGTGGCTCATCGAAGACGATGGTCTCTTGAGAGCTTTGCGGTAAAATGAAGGAGCGATTGCGCGCTGAAAGCTCCATGTAGTCTGTTCAATGCAGTCCATGTCCCCAACCTTTGAAAATCAATGATTTTCCTAGAAACAGATAAAAAAAGATAGAAAAAGATAAAAAAAGATAAAAAAAAATAGCAACAAATAAAAAAAGATAGCAAAAAATAAAACAGATTTAACTTATCTCTGTTTTATTTTTTTTTATCTCTCCTTTCTCTTTCTTTCTTACCTAAGTCAAACAACCCACTGTGTAAAGCCCTCGGGAGAAGGCCGCCATGGTTTCCACATTCCCGGCCCACGGCCAGCCGGCCAGGCGCGCCGTAGATCGCTTGACATCGTAGGCAAGGGTGGAGGGTTCAGGGATTTTTGATAGGGTTGGGGGCCTCACAGATAAGGATTTCGGGTTGTTGATGTCGGGTTGTGGGTCTCTGGATGAAGGGTATAGGACTTTATCCCTCCTGCTCTAAGGACTCATTTTTGAAGGCTTTTGGGCCCAAAGACCATACTATATAAGGCTTTGGGGCTATTTTGAGCCTTAGGGAATGAGTTTAGGGTCCATAGGGTTTCGGGGGCGCGGGGCCGCGGGGCTCCAAAGCTCTTACCATGACTTACGACACGTTCGTTAAGGAGTTTTGTGGTTTCTGGGAAACTGTACATTGTAATGTATGTTCTTTACATCGATGTAAAAAACATACATGACAATGTACTAGGTTAGGGTTGCGCCGGTGGGTGTTAGGGATGTGGGCTTTTGAATTTTGGGGTGTTCGGGGAGTGGGGTCTGTAGGGGTGCAGGCAGGTACCCTGCGTACAGGTTATGCATCCGGGTTTCCAAGTAGGAATGGCTCAGGCTACCCAGCAGCTCCCTGTCGACCCAATACTCTACAGTAGTCGCTGAAGCAGTAGTATAGTAGGATCATAGTCAGTAGTACCATAGTACGTAGTACAATAGTATTCTAGTAGGGATCTATCCGACAACGGGGCGTCTGGTGTTGATCCTGTGTTTTCGCCAGGGGGATCTTGAATCGAAAGGGCAAGGCAACTTCTCTGGCAACTGCTGCTCGTAACTCTTCCCTAAGGGTCCATGTACTCATATAGCATGTACTTGGGCCCCAATGTACCCAAATAGGGATTACATTAAGGCCAATGTATATACTATATGAGTACATGGACGCTTAGGGCTTTATAGCCGGCTTAACGTGACTTAAAGCCAAAAGAGGCTGGAGAGATGGTCCTCCCTGCTAGTTCCGATCTTCTTGTACGACAGAACATGGGAGTATCCGAAAATTAGGGGGTACCTTATTAGGGGGTCCTTATAATACGGGTCCTACTATATATGGTACTAGATTAGGCTCCCCTGTTTTCGGAAACTCCCACATACACCCCACAGCCGTATTCAAGTCCCTACACTATACTACCCATGAACTTCGAGTAGAGCTGGGGCTTGCAGGCTGGTGAGCAGCCGTCGCGGCATCTCCGCACATATTCGCAGGTGCGGCAATGTCGTAAACCCTAAGGCCTTGGAATTCACGGCTGAGGCTTGGGTCTTGGGCATTTTCAGAATGATTCGGTGGGCCGGCCCAGGTTTCGACATAGGCTCCCAAATCCAAGCAGGACATGTATGTCTGGAATCAGAACACGGGGTCGTGTTGTGTGTACCCTATATATATATATATATATATATTTATATATTATGTTTTTAGTAAGAGTACACGCATACACGACCCCTATTTACGTTTGCATATGTACACACACACACATATATATATATATATATATATATATATACGCATTATATTATACTATATAAATGGTATAGTATAGTATAGTATAGTATGGCATGGTATGTTATGTTATATTATTTCATATCATATCATATTATATATATATATACATATATATTATACTATATGATATTTATATATATTTATATATGTATTTGTTTATATACGCACAGCTGTATCAACAGAGAGAAAGGTGGACCGCGAGAGAGAGAGAGAGAGAGAGAGAGAGAGATAAGTTTAGATCATGTATTCATCCATCAATTGTCCAATCTTTTTCTTCAGCCCTTCCTGAAGGAATAGACTGCGCTCCTTGGAACCCGCGAAAATCCTTCGCATCGGCAGGCCCTGTATAGACATAATTCAGCAGTACAAATACTAACGTACATACAAGCAGAAATATCAACGAAACGATCAAATACACATAGCTAAATACAACTTTAAACACAAACTGAAAATGCATCTAAATATAGATATATAAATTCACATGGTATTTCACATATACATATATCTGCATATATATAAACATTCATTCATTCATTCATTCGTTCATTCGTTCATTCGTTCATTCGTTCATTCGTTCATTCGTTCATTCATTCATTCATTCATTCATTCATTCACATACCTGAAGTTTTCAACTCTAGGTTTTAGGGGCCTTAATATTCTTGATTGACTTATGTTCCTGAAGTAGTTACAGCGTATTATTGGGGTAGAACCCTACGGCTGGTTTAGGGTTTAGGGTAGAACCCTACGTTTGACTTTGTTACGGCCCTAAGCTTCCAGCACGCCAGGCAGAAGTCCGTGCGCAAGGTGCCAAAGACAGCCAGCTCCTTCGTGCCTTAGCTGAGAACCTATAACTTTACCTGAGCTCCACCTGAAAGTCAAATAATTGCCTGTTGACGCTATGGAGAATTATGCCTGTTACTTAGGGCATTCATACCCTGAATACCGGCATATACTAATTCCTGCTGTTCTACGCCGGAACAACCGCATATGGCTCCATAATATGTACGTACCCCAAAGACCTCATCTACACCCTCCCAAGGCCTCAACTCTAACCCCCTAATAGGCCCTGGAGCCCTCAAGCCCAAATCCCTATCTGGGTAGGGCTTTGGGGCATTTTATATTATCCCTTATTGGGCTTAAGAGGATCTTATTTACTAATATTTTCCAAAGGACCTAAAAGCCCTACCTAGCCAGGTGCAAGAGAAGTCGGCAACCCAGTCCCGTGAAGAGCCGGATGACCCTCGGCTCTGATGGTCGCGGGCTTTTCGGGGTTTAGGGTTGAGGGTTTAGGGGTTTAGGGTTTAGGACCCTAAACCCTAAACCCTAAACCCTAAACGGTGGTGGGTGCCATGATTTGGGGTTTGGCGGTTGCGGGTTGGGGGTTTAGGGCCTTCCGGTTTAAGGGATCAGGCTGAAGGGTGAAGGGTCGTGAGGGTTTAGTAGCTGAGTGGATACACTTTACATTTTTTGGGCATAAGATTTCTCATTACACAATTGAAAGCCTCTTAAGAGAGCCAGAGGTAGGGTTAGAAGGGGCTACCTTTTAAGGGGTCTCCCTCATCATGCTACCCAGGTTTGAACCTGCAGCATGATTCGGGCTGGGGTCAGGGGCTCGCACTCATTCTGAGACTTGAGGGGGGGGGGGGTATACTTCTTGCATTTTGATGCCACCGAGGAGCTGTAAAAGCCTAAACCCCGCTAAACCCAATACGAGTAGCTGGTGCGCGCCACACGGAACACCTCAACCCTTTAAGGGGCTTATGGACTGATTAAGGGTGTCCCTTGGTGTACTAAGTAGTGCCCTCGTGCTTTTATGAGGTGGAGGGTCTACTGATGACAGCATACAATATTGATTGATTAAGAGGCAAAAGTGCATGTAGCTTGTTATTCAAGGGTTTCTGGGAAGCCTGGCACAACACCCAGACCCTAAATGCTGAACCCTAAACCCTAAACCTAAACCCTATACAAGGGGCCCAAGCTCTTGAGCCCAGAGCGACCCAGGATACCATGGCCAAGGGGGCCATCGGCTTCGCCACTACGGAGGCGCTCGGAAAACAAGGGGGGGGGGGGGGGGGTAGGTACTTGGACCCTTAGGGTTAGGGTTTTCGAGGTTTTAGGGGTTTAGAGGTTTATAGGGTTTAGGGGTTTAGCGTTGGGGATTTAGGGGTTTAGGGGTTAGGGATTTAGGGTTCTGGGTTTAGGGGTTAGGGAATTAGGGTTTAGGGGTTTTAGGGTTTAGGGGTTTAGGGCCAAGAAAGACTCCTGACAGATTAAGATAAGGGGGTAGGAGAGCTTGGGGTTTAGAAGAATTTAGGGTAAAACCTAGGGGGTTTGGAGGTTTGCGTTGTCGGGGTTTGGGAGGTTTAGGTTTAGGGTTTGAGGCTTCAGGGTGTAGAGGGGGTCGTACATTTGCACCGAGACCCATGTTGGAGCAACCAATCTCATGGTGTACAGGCTGATCTTCACATACAGGTCTGAATCATGTCTTATGGTCTCCATGGTCCCTAAAACAGTGCGACACAATGCTTTCCAACAGCCTCTTTACACCGCTGCGGTCCCGACAGGAAGTACCCCGAAACTGAAATAGATTTTCTGTGGAGGCTATTGCCTTGAAGGTTTCAGATCATTGGCCCAGGGCGTTTCACGCAGCCGCTTAGGGACGCTTTGTTTCTGAATGGACGTTGTGGTTCAGCGTTGTGTTGCTTTTCGGGTTTTGGGGGCTTCGGCGTTAGGATGTAGGACTTACATATGGCTCCGTGCTTATGCATGTTTAGGCCATTTTAGGGATGTTAGGGACCCCCAAAGCACACAAGTATAAGCATTTTATAGGGATATCCCTACCTTATTGGGCTTAATTATAAGGGGGTTTATATGGGACATCCCTAACCTTGTTTTTGCCTATTTGCTCTTTTGGGTCTTTCGCTGCTCCTCGGCAAGTTCTGTCAGCCTAAACCCTGTGGCCATCTGAGAACTATAGGGATACCTTGTGTACGGGGTGATCTTGATAAGCGTCGTGGGTGGATCTTGCCCCGATTACCATGATCCCCTAAGAGCTCTTGCTATGTTAGGAAGCTAATATAATATTGCGAGAATCACAATTACTACAACATGATCCTCGAAGGGCTCTCACCGTGGATGCGCTTCCTGCCAGGCCATGCCGTATGCCTCGATGCTGATTACGTGCCACGGACTGCAACAAGAGCCCGACGTGCATCTGTGCTTTGGGTTTAGGGTTTAGGGCTTAGGATTTAGAGTTTAGGGTTTAGGGTTTAGAGTTTAGGGTTTAGGGTTTTAGTTTTAGGGTTTAGAGTTCCGGTTCCGGCTGTAGGGTTGGCATCTGTGCTAGCTTTGAAGATTCGGCTTCGTTTGAGAAGACTTGACGAAATCTAGGACCTAGGACACAGACTTCGGTAGCCCACTGCCGCTGCGTTTTCTGTACGGCTCCCAGATCAAGGCTAGAATATGTGTGGGGCAGATGCCCTTTGCTTTCACAAGCTGCGATTGCGACTCGAAACGTGAATCCCCAGAAGCCCTCGGCGACCCTAATTGCCAGAACCTCGAACACCATCTTCTTGAGAGCACCCACCTGCGGCAAGAATTCTTCGTATCTTGTTTGGGCGTAGTTCTTCGATATGCAACCTTTCATTTTTTGGGTCTGCGATACGTCCGAGATCAAGTTGCCCGACCACGCATGGCTCACTGCCAATCCAGCACTGCATGTACCTCATCATTCTAGCCCGTTGCCACGACGACGTGCTGTATCCCAGGAAATTTTCAGCACCGTTTCGACACAACCGCGACGAGCGACTGCACGGGCACGGGCGCTTGCAGTCGTTCGTTCCGCTCACACGTCGGTTCCTTGGCGGGTGGCTGTGTTCCGTGTAGACTTGCACGACGGCGACGGGCCGTCGAGTGATGCCGCTGCTTCAGTGGCGTGGACAGTAACGGCCTGCGGCTGGCTTGCGACATGATACAGCTCGCTGCTGACCACAAGCCTAACTTGACTGTGCCAATGGAGGGCTACACACAATAGCTTGTCTCGATTCTGAAAGTCTGGTTCTGAATTCCGAAACCCTAAAGATATTGAATTTGATTCTATTGGACCCTTGGGAAGAAAGTATAAACACGCCCTGCTCCTAGGGTTGCCTTCAAGCTAGCACCAGAAAGATCTCATCAACCCGAAAAAGCGCATGCCTCCCTCCTCGCAGACGATACATGGCTAGGGTGCAGGGTTTTATAGCTTCGCAGGCAGGTTTAGGTTTTCGGATTTGGGACTACCTTCGGTATATAGGCATAAGACCCGGAACGCAGAAAGCCACATTGTCCAGAAATGGAGCCTAAATTCGCTATCGGTTCGAAGCCTCAGCCTTGAACCCTAAACCCACAAACCCCAAAGTCCAGCAATCCCAAACGCCCTCGACCCTTACAGCTCGAAATCTGGCAATCCAGCCGTGGAATAGACGAAAGCTTCAATTTTATAGGGTTGAGAGTACAGGGAGAGTGAAGCCCACAAATGCCCCAACATGGAAAAACTCGTCTCCCTGTATAGTCCCGATACGATGATACAGGGCTTGACTCCGGTGTGCCATAGACATATAGCAATGAAACTCTACTCAAGAATGTGGTGCCGGCAGCGACCTGTCTGGAAAAGTCTGGACTAGTATTAGCGGTAGTAGCAAGAAAAAGCAGCCGGCATGCTTTCCATTATCCGGTATCCCCACAGCAATACCCGGTCGCCCAGGATCTGGCCCAGATTGACCACTTGGAATTATTACCTCAGGGACCCGCACGGCCCTTTTTCTACTTAACACGGCCCCTATACAAACCCGAAACCCCTACGGACCTGGACCCAGTAACCAGCGTTCGCCGAGTGCTGCGTCTAGCTCCTAATCCACAAAGCCTGGATCTTAAACCTAAACTGACCACCCCCTTACAGAATCTTAAGCCCTAATTCCCACGGAAATACAAGCCGAAAGCGCACCTGCCCGCCTGCTCAGGCAGTTCGGAGGCGACGAGTTCGATTCCGGCTCTTGCTTGGGCTTCGCACCCAAGCGCCTCAGCCAATGAAAGTTGCCTTGGGGGTTAAGGAATCCGAGAGACTCCAATATCCCGTAATTCATGAATATACGTTAAACTGTAGCAGGATTCCTTTTCTGATTCAAGGAATATTCCTTATAATTGCGGGAAATTGTAGTCTTTGGGGTTAGGGCTTCTAAGGGTTTCGTTCCCTCTTGGAAGGTTCCGTTTCACAGCCCTTCAAGGCTTCCTCACGGGATCCTTCAAGGGCTGCTTGTACGGGTGAGGGCTTAGTGCTAGCCCAAACCCGCAAAGGTAGGTAAGATAAACTTTGCTAAACTTGGCAATAGAGCTATGGTATGAGATCCACCGAAATTCTTCAAGCTTTGCAAAGCAGAAGGGAACGGAGCATGGCTTGCTCCGCAGCTTAGGCCTCGGGCTTCAACTTTCTGTGGCAGCCCGGGCCTCCCATGCCCCAAACGGGAAACGCCGAACTCGGACTCGTCGGGTCTCTGAAACCCAGACCTTCCAAAACCCCTTAATTAAGGAATATACCTTAAATTATAATGGGGTCCATAATATGATTTAAGGTATATTCCTTAATTAAGGGATTCTGGAAGGTCTGGGAACCCCTGTGTGTGATGGCTGTTCCTTTCGCATGGTAACAGGAAGCAAGAAGCACCGAACTCGTCAAGTCTATCGAGCGCCTGAGTGTGATGCTGGCAGGCACCGTACCGGGAGCAATGGCAAGGTCACCAAACGCGACTGGCAGGCTCTCGATACGCACAGGTTTGATCACGCCATGATTGCCAGGGCTTGACAGGATTGATATTGGGATTCTTGAAGTGCTCATATTTATAGGTCATCGGCGCTGTAGAGTACTCCTAGTGATTATAATCCCAAAGTGTCCAAAGTAACTATATAGTAGAATGTAGGAGTTCTATAGTAGGAATTACTATTATGAGTTGGGGAAGTATTCCCCTTAACAGTACCCAGGATCCTTAGGGAACCTTTTCTTCATATAGACTAACCATTGATATTGGAGGAGCTAAGGAGCCAGGGATGACGATAATCCCTATTAAATAAGGAGCTAAAGAGCCATGGAACCCCCAAAACCACTGGTTAGTAGAGTTAGAACCCTAAACCTAAACCCTAAACCCTAAACCCTTAACCCTTAAACCCTAAACCCTTAAACAGTCTTCTCTTCATATAGAGTTTTTGGCACGTGTTCTGGTCTTGAAGAGCTTTCTGCCCGGAAGGTGCCCAGCCCTGACAGCGCGGACTTCGTAAAGCTGCTGGGCTCTTCTTAGGGTCCTAGGGACCCTTAAGGGGGGTAGGGGTTAGGGTGTAGGGTTTAGGGCTTAGGGGTCCTTAACAACGGACCTAGTCAGGCCTATTTAAAGGAAGTATAGTCCCCTACCCCCTCCCCCTACCTAAATCCTAAACCTCAAAAACCCTAAACCCTAAACCCCAAACACTAAACCCTAAACCCCCCTACCGCCTCTAAGGGTCCCCATGATCTCACCTGCTCGGGTCCCTATGATAGGGTTGCGATGGGTCTCCAAAGCCGGATCCTACCAAAGGGGCCCTGAGAAATGCAGTGGGGCTTCTTGAAGTGTGCCTGCGAGAGTTCTGCAGAGGCTACTATCCGGGGCTAGAAGGGGTCTAGAGTGCTACTAAGTGGCTTTAGAATTAGCGAAAACAAAAATCGCAATAGTAATAATAGTAGTAATAACAGCAATCATAAGACCATGCCACCGCCCGGTGTCGTTCCAAAAGGGGGGAAGCTCCATGCTGCCATGTATGGCGAGCGGAGATTGCCTGCCAGGGATTTACTTAAAAAACACTGGTGCAGTAACGTTAAGAACCACCACCATCATCATCGTCATCATCATCACCACCATCACCATCATTATCATCATCAAAACCATTCCCATCCGCAGTATCATCATCGTCCTCATCTTCATCCTTCCCCTAATCATTATCTTCAAGTCAAGGAATATGCCTTGAACCCTAAACGCTAAACCCTACAGTGAGGCTCGACCTAAAAGGTACTCCGACTGTAGCAGGGAGCAAACGGGCCCGCAAAAAAAATGCAAATAAACCCCATCTGCCTTAAGTCTTTGCGAAGACACGTTATGACTTACCTTTGGTTAGTAGGGAATGGAAGACTGGTAGTAATAGTAGTTATGATTGCACCCATTCCTCCATTCCCCACTAACCAAAGATAAACCCCTAAACCCTAAACCCTAAACCCTAAAACCCTCAGATGAGGGAACCCTGACTCTTGCTGGGGATCTCCAGATGCTTTTGGTTTGAGGGGGGTTTTGAGGGTTTTTCGCACGGTGGCGGCTTGATGAAGTTTTTCCAGTTCCTGTACTGAACATTATACAAACGGCTGCCAAAAAATGACCAGGTATGTTCATGTATATATATATATATAGAGAGAGAGAGAGAGAGAGAGAGAGAGAGAGAGAGAGAGAGAGAGAGAGAGACAGAGAGAGATGATGATTGCCTACATACATGCGTACGTACATACATACATTGATACATGGGGCCTATTGTGTGGACTGGGCTCTGCTGAAACTTCCTCTCCTTGAAGCTTGGGACTCTCAGGGCCCAAGTACCTTACAATCACTTCGCCAAGACTAGTCAGCATTGCAAATATCTTCAACTATCCAAGATCCTAAACTTCGGCCTAAACCACAGATCCTAGACCCAAAGAGCTCTCTGATCCGAAGTACCTACTTGTTGGGTACCCGGGCTCCTGCGGGTCACCAAGAACTAAGGCTGGAACCCTGGGCAGTACCCTGCAGCAACCAGCAACTCGGCAGCCTAAACCGCGTGGTCGCGGGTCTCACGTTCAAGGTTCAAGGTTTCGGGTTTAAGGGTTTAGTTTTTGAATTGTAGTTGGAAGTTTAGGGTCTAGGATTCGTGCTTCAGATGCTGGGGAGCCCAACGAACCTTTTTTGCAATGATGGCAAAACGTCCTGAATAACACCCCAAAGCCCCAAGGCAGGACCCTAAACCCCAGACCTTTACATTCTAGCGGTAACCCTCCCATTCTCTCAAGCTCTTCCCATACTTTGCCGGAATCGTTCTTTCTGTCTGTCGGTGAAGAGCACGATAATCGGAAGAGTGTGATGTGTGAAGAGAATGGAAACCCAGGACTTAAACAGATCCTAAACCCGAACACTACATTCACTAAATCCCAAACCCGCGCCTGAAAGCTTACGTCGCAAGCGAGAAGATACAAACCCCACACGGCTGAGACCCTGGACCCCTTATCACGCCCAACGAAGATCTCACAACGCTTAATCTCCAGAAAAACACACAGACACCCACGAAGCAACACTCGACACTTTAGGTGGGCGAAGGATCACCCAGAAAAGTGGGAAGGCTGGGTGGGCTTCAGTGCTAGCAGTTGTGGCACAGATTCAAGGTTTCCGGTTTCGTGCAGGCATGGTCTTTTTTTGCATGTTGAGATTCGGGGAGAGGCAAGTAAGGGCTCGACGTTGAAAAGCCGGCAAAACACATAACACCGCACAAAGCCTTGTATTCTAATCCCCTACACCTTAAGTCCTAATAAACCTTAACTGCAACAAAGCCGTATATTGCCAAATATGTCATGTATGTACATATATACATATGTACATAAGTACACATATGATATACATATGTACATACATTCATCTGTGCATATATACATTTGTACATATACATATATACACACACATATAAGTTACGATGTCTCTTGGGATCGAGAATCTTGGAGAGGCTATTCCTTCTACACCTACGAGTCTGTCATCGAGAAGCTCCCTGGTCGCATGCGCGGCACGAAACCGGTGAAAACCAACTCATGAACCTTTCGGGATTAGGGTTTATAGGATTAGGGGTTTAGGGTTTATAGGGTTTAGTGGGTTTATGGTCTATAATAATTAATTATGGGATTTCTAAAGGGGTTAGGGGTTTAGGGTTTATTGGTTTAGGGGGGGTGTTAAGGGTTTAGGGTTTAGGGGCGTAGGGGCGGTTTAGGGTTTTAGGGTTTAGGAGCTCTAGGGTACCGACCGAGCCTTGTTGATGCCTTTTGTTGTGTTTGGGATCTGTTTTCGTTCTTGGGCCTTCGCTAAAACACAGGGTCCAAAGTAACTATATAGTAGAATGCAGGGGTGCTTCCCCATAACAGTACCTAGGATCCTTAGGGTAAGGTTGTAGCATATGCAGTTCTTAATCGTAGCCCCCCCACATAGAACAATACAAAAATAGCCAACGACTGATACATGGGGCCTGGGTACTTACCGGCATTCCTCCCGATGGCCCCCTTTCAAAAGCCAAGACACACCTTCCCTGTGCTCCAAGTAATCAGTCTTTATAGACTTCAGGCCCCAAGGTAGGTACTGTTTGTATACGTGAAGCCCTACTTGGAGGCGCAGGGGACTTAGTAAGTAGGTTATAAGTAGGGCTATAATTGGGGTAACGCCATTTAGGGTACTTATAACCCTACTTATAACCTACTTACTAAATTTTCTGAGCCTCTAAGTAGGGTAGTCTAGTTGTACACCAGGGCAAGTCTGTTGAATATCACTCCTCTGCAGGTCGAAGTGGAGCCAGCGACCTTGTATCCCTTAACCCTTAATCCCTGAAGCCTTAAACCCTAAGACCCTAAACCCCTAAACCCTAAAACCCTAAACCCCTAAACCCTAAACCCCTAAACCCTAAACCCTAAGACCCTAAACCCCTAAACCCTAAAACCCTAAACCCCTAAACCCTAAGCCCCTAAACCCTAAACCCTAAAACCCTAAACCCCTAAACCCTAAAACCCTAAACCCCTAAACCCTAAACCCCTAAACCCTAAACCCTAAAACCCTAAACCCCTAAACCCTAGACCCTAAACCCTTAATCCCCGAAACCCTAGACTGCAAATGGGAGCTTTCGAAAATAGGGGACCCTAATATGGTACCCTACATAGTAGGATCCTGATTATAAGGATCCCAAAATAAGGTAACCCCTCAATTTTCGGAAACTCCCAAATAGACTCAACGATTAACGCTCTTACTCTCTTCACCCTCGGGTCGGGCTGATTTCTTACCACCCATCTTCCAACATGCCCCAAAACCCTACTCTAATGTTGTGCTGAGGCCCCTATTCTATCATCTCTATCAGTGTCAAGCTGTGCACTATCTTGTAGATCATCCGGATTTTTAGTTGGTGTAGAGAGGTTAGGTTTTGGGCTTCGGGATCCAATTGCCCAAAACCCCTAGAGCCCCTCGCCCTAGATCCGAACGCCCGAACCCCTGACACCATGAAACGGCCCTGATTCCTTTACCGAAGCTCCAAAGCGGCGAGCAAAACCACGGAAGCTTAGGTGCGTGCCTTATAATAGAACCCTTATAGGACCCTTGTAGAACCCCCTTAAAGCAACCCTAGAGATCCCTTTAAGGGAACCCTCCTAATTTTAACAACCGCCCAGGTGCGTGGCGATTTCCTACAGCATGTCGGTCCAACCAACCTTGGCCTTCGTTGGAGGCCTTATAAGTAGCTGAGCGGATACACTTTACTCTTTTTGGGAGAATACCTATAGTCTCCATTGTACTTCCTTTTTGGGGATACCTTTTAGGATCCTTAGTATAGAAATTGTTAAACCAAAAAAGGAACTACAATGGAGACTGTAGGTAAAAGTGAAAGTGTACACTTTTTGGGGCTTATGAACTCAGCAACTAAGAGGCGAATCACATCAGAACAATTTGCCGTTGTCGTCACTAGCATATTGCCTTACCGGATAAGGGCCCTGCTGTAAAGCCCTAAGCCTAAACCCTCGACACTAAATCCCTAAACCCTGAACCCCCAACCCTGCCTCCTAAACCCTTTAATCCCTGAACCCCAAACCCTAAAGCCTACGCTTTCTTCGCCAGGACTCGAGTTTGAATTGATGCCCGCGCCCCTGGCCGAGGTGACGACGGAGGCCTGGAAGTCTAGCTTACCCCGCACGTGGGGTTTAGTGTTTAGGGTCCGCGGTTGGGGATTCGGGCTTCTTTGACAAGGATTTTGGTTAAGGGTTCTTTCGTGGGGTGTTGGTATATTTTTGTGCTGTGTTGAAGATTCTGCGGGGTTTGACACTTGTTCGAGTTGTGCACGGGCTTCCTTTCGTAGAATTCCCCATGTGGATTTTACAGAATTGTCAAATTTGTTTCAGGGTCGCACAAGAGTTTGCGAGGAGTCTCCCGGCAGGGGCGTGTAGTTGGTATGATGATTGCCTAGGGTTCCCTATTCTTGCAGTCCTGTATAGTGGGTATCGTTAGTGTCGCTGAAACGTTGGCTGAAGCCCTACATGGCCTGCTCAGGTGTTGCAAGTTGGGGTTGAGGGGAGGCCTGGACACCTAGTGCCCCTAAACCCCTAAGCCCCTAAGTCCCTAAGCCCCGATATTCCCTAAAAACCCTAAACCCTAACCCCTAAGCCCCTAAACCCTAAACCCTCTGAGCCCTATTCCCTAAACCCTAAACCCCTAAACCCCTAAACTCTAACCTTTAACCCCTAAACCCTAAAGCCCCTAAACCCCCCCTGAAAACCTTAACCCCCCCCTGAGCCGCAAGAGCCCGGAGCCCAGAGACTCCAATATCCCTTAATTAAGGAATATTCCTTAAATCATCTAAAGGATCCTATTATGATTTATAAGCTATATTCCTTAGTTAAGGGATTTCTTGGAGTCTCCCAAAGCCTAAACCCTATATAGATCCCTTATAGATCCCTTAAAGGAAACCTAGGTATTCCTTAATTAAGGGATATTGGAGTCTCTGGGAGGTCTGTTGGCCGGACCGTGTGTCGGCTCCGGACCTGAGCCTCATCGTCACGACGATCCGGAGCGGGGCCTCCAAAACACTTGGGGGGGGGGGGGGGTTAGGGGGTTTAGGGCTTATAGGGCTTATAATCGGGTTTAGAGGGTGTTTAGGGTGTTTTTTATAGGGTTTTGGGGGTTTATTAGAGATTAAATTGGGGTTTAATGGGTTTTAGGGGTTTAGTTTTTAGTGGGTTTTAAGGGTTTGGTGGCTTTTGTGCTTTTAGGGTTTAGTGGGGGTAGGCGCCTTAATAGTTAGAGTAGGGGCTTCTATGTTTGGGTTTAGGGTTGAGGGGTCTATTTGAGATGGCCGGAAGAATGCGGGCTTTGCTAGGTTTGGTTAAAGCTTGTAGGAACTTTTCTTCAGGGCTAGAAGGAGTAGTTGTTTAAGGGTTCCTCGGAGGGTTTAACTTCCACAAGGGGTTTAGCATACATACAAGCATGGGGAATTGTAGCATACAAGCATGGGGAATTGCATCATTAATGATGCCACAGTGGCAGAATTAGTAGAAGTAGCAGTAGTAGTCGTAGTCGTCGTTGTCGCGCCGTCGTCGTATAAAGCATGTCGGATTCGCCCACCCCGAGCGCCAGCAGGACCGGCGGCATCGTGTTGTTCAAGTGCCTTGGATGATACGAGTTCTTCAGAGATCTTCAAATAGGCCCAAGGCAGGTATTGTAGGTTCGAGGTTTTGAAGTAGCAGAAAATTATGACACACATGGCGCTGAAATATTAGTACAGTCTTTCCCTTGTAGCCCCTACCACTATAATCACGATTCATAATTATTGCAAGATAGTCCAAAGGTTCTTGCCCTACACCCTGGGTCTTGGCTTCCGCCAGTTTCAGGCACACGATCCGCCTCCACAAGCGCTTTGGGAGCGACACAGGCTTCACTGCTGGCAACATCAAGGAGCTTTCTTGGGCTTAGAGGGTTTGGGGGTTGATTGTGCATAGGGTTTAGGATGTATAGGGTGCCGAGGGCTTATAGGGTTTCGGATGTATGCGGTTTGGAGAGTCTAGGGTTTATAGGGTTTGGGATTTAGGGTTTAGAGGTTTGGAGCCTCTAGGAGTCTCCTGAACCATATACAACCTACCTTTTAGTGCTCCTGGTTTTGATTTCTCTACATAGGTCCTCGAAAAGGTAGGGTATTTGGGATTAAGGTAGGGGTTTTGGGTTTAGGGTTGGTTTTGCGAGATTTAGGTAAGGAGAAGGAAGGAACGAACTAAAGCAAGTGTACTATCCCGGGTGATCTCGGCTTTGTTTCATCTATAGCACCCAGCAGGACCTTGAGACCGTTCCGTTGTTTGGTCTCCTTGTTCACTGTGAACAATAGGCAGTAGAACAAGGGCTGTCTTTACTACTGCTGAAAAAGGATGGCTGGGGACGCTAATATCCACCATAAGCTGGGATAAAGTCTGAAAATACCTCTAACACCCATATAAACCTTGCTGAACTACAGCAGCACTTCAGCTGGCGATGTTCTAGCACTCCTGTGTCAGGACGCCGTGGAACGTGCCAGAAATTACTTCGGCAAGGGCACCAACGATGATGATGACAAATCGCTCCAAGGTTGGGCATAAGGGTACCCGCAGGCCCCAAAGTAGTTCCTTTTTGGGGTTCATATATAGGATTCTAAATATGAACCCCAAAAAGGAACTACTTTGGGGCCTATGGGTACGGGTATTTCGGGCGGATTTGGGATTTTACGAGTGGCTTCCATGGCGTTGGGCGTTCCGGGATCAGAAGCTTGCGGGGGCACCGTAGCATTTTAGGAGATTCAGGTTTGAGGGTTTAGAGTTTCTTTAAAGGGCTTGGCGTATGCGCAATGGTAATGAGTAATGCTTCATTTAATTATAACTGTGGGGGACTCTGGCGCACCGCGCAGACTTTCCTTGGGAGTCTCTACAGTCTCTTTGCTTGTTGTTGGCAGTTTTGCAGGCCGGAATCGGGCATTGGCTTTGAGGGTGCATGGAGCTTGCCTTAGCCTTTCGGGGCTCGGCGTGTAGGTGTGGCATCCAGGTGTCATGGTGGCAGCTTTCAGGGTCTTCCCTGAACTATCGAAACCCTCTTTTTTTAGATCCCTGTCAGTTTTTATTCGGGTTTATGGTAAGTCCCATCAAAAAGAAGATCATTATGCCAATCAACATGCTGTCTAGGTTGGCTTCAGGGTGCAGCAAGCTGTGTTGCTTTATACTGCTGGTAGACAACAGCTTGCATTGCCCTAGGGCAAGTACCGCCAAGCACATTAATCATTGGGCTTACCTCTTGCGGCTAATGCAGGGTTTCGTTCATCAAGCAAAGAATATGGAGAGAATCGACACGCAGAATCGGAAGAAGAAAGCAGTAAGTGGCGTAGTCAAAAATACAACATAGTGCTGAGGCTTACAGTCCGCAACGGTGTCCCGAAATTTCCCCATGAGACCACTGCTTTGCAAGGCATGCCGCGCAGCGTTCTGAGCCAGGCAGGAAATGCTGCTTGTCGACAGCACTGGTTTTGAGTTCAATCCCCGAGATGGAGAAGAACTCCCGAAATAGCTGAGACCACACAGCCTCAATCGGACAGCCCGGAGCTACGATCTTAAATCCCGAGGCCCCGAAGAATGCCCCCAAGAATCCCATCATCCACGGCCCCAAGCAGGTGGAGAACAGCACTGAAAGCACTTCTGAGACGGAGACCGATGAGGCGCCAAGCCTGCACAGTATGTTTGAATGCTGCTGTACGGCGAGGTTCAAGAAGCCTCTTCTGTAAGGTCTACCATCTGCGTTGTGTGTGTACACGGGCTTGAGAACATAAATAAGCAACATATCTAAGAAGCCTAAACCCTGAATCCTAAACCCTACCTTAACCCTGAATAACCTACCTTTTTGGGTTCCTTATTATGATTTCATTATACAATTTCTTAAAAAGGTAGGTCCTTCAGGGTTAAGGTACACCCTAAGAATGGTTCGGTAAGCTTCATGATTGAGAGGCTTTCGAGTCGCTGGGAACGAGGACAGCACAAAGAGGGTTTGAGGTTCCCTTGTCCCTCAGATTGTTCCTAACCCTATAAACTATAAACCCTATAAACCCTATAAACCCTATAAACCCTATAAACCCTATAAACCCTATAAACCCTATAAACCCTATAAACCCTATAAACCCTATAAACCCTATAAACCCTATAAACCCTAAAAGCTGCAAACCGAAAGCCTAGACTTCAAACCCCGAGCCCGTACTCGCTACGCCCTGTGAACCCTAAACCCTACCTTAACCCTGAAAAACCTGCCTCTTTATGGCTCCTGACTAGATTTCCTTAATTATATAAGTCCTTAAAGGTAGGTTAAAAGGTAGGTTATTCGGGGTTAAGGTAATCACTAAGTCCACATGAAGCCGCCGACTAGCCCGAAGAAGCAGAAGCGAGGAAACGCACTTCCACCCGGAACAGGAGGCCAGTTTGTTGGGCGGGGGGGGGGGGGGGGGGGTATCGGGTTGGATTTCACGGTTTCTGATGGAAGGGTCCCTTTCAAGGTTCTACAGGATGTTTCGGGTTTGCAGGATTCTTCAAGAGTTTCTGGTGGGAAGGGTCCCTGTGTGAGGTTCCATAGGATGTTTCGGGCTTGCGGGTTTTTTGAAGGGTTCCTGATTGAAGTGCCCCTTCAAGGGTTCTACAAGGGTCTTATGGTTCAGGGTGGAGTCACGGGCTTTGGTTTTGGCTGTGTTTTCCCAGTCATGCTGGAAGGATCAAGCGACTTTAAGCGGAGGCTTATTGGGCTTGGTACAGACGTCTCAAGGTCTGGAAAGGCGTTGGCAGGGTAAGTAGGTGTGATTCGGAGCCATGAGCAATGCTCATGAAAACCCTACGTACTCATATTCGACTTACTCTCTGCCCTCACCCTGCCAGAGATGTCTCGTTATCCCAAAGCCTATACCTTATAAACCCAAATCCTAAACCAAAGGGTCCAAAGTCTCTATATACTGAAAAGTAGGGTTTCGATATTAGGAATGACTATTAAATGCTTTGGGGAAGTATTCCCCATAACAGTACCTAGGACCCTGGGCCTTGAAGCTGCTGACTCTCAGGGCCAAGTCCCTACGATCACTTCGCCAAAACTAGCCAGCACCACGAGTATCATCAACTATCCAAGAGCCTAAACTTTGGCTTAAACCACAAATCCTAGACCCAAAGACGCACCTGCGCTTTTCTGATTCGAAGTGCCTACTTGTTGGGTACCTTGCCCAAACCCTAAAACCCTCCCCAAACCCTAATAAACCCTAAACCCAAACCCAAAACCCTAAACCCTAACCTAGGACCCTCAGCAAATCAGGAGATCTTCCTGGCCTCGGCCAAGTACGACGCGCAGCTGGGGGTGAATTTGACCCATCGCTTCTCGGGTCACGAGGCTCTGCGCTGTTTGGGGTTTCGGGAGTTTCGGGAGTTTGGGGTTTGGGCGGTTCGGGGGTTTAGGGGTTTTGGGGTTTGGTGGTTTTGGGGTTTGGGGGTTTAGGGTTTCGGGAGTTTCAGGTTTCGGGAGTTTGGGGTTCAGGGATCGCTTCTTGGGTCACGAGGCTTTGTTTGGGTTTGGGGTTACTTGAGGGTTTAGGGCGTGGGGTTGCGATCAGGGTTTTCTAAGAGATCTGTTAGTAAGGCGTGTAAAAATGGTCCTTTTCTAGGTTCAGGGTTCAAGGTTTACAAGGTTTGGGGGGGTAAGCGTTGCAGGTGCATGTTTTTACATTCTTTGGCCTTAGATGGATGCTTGCTCCAAGTGCTGATTTTGCAGATCCCTTGATTGAGGTGTTTTTGTTCGTCCCTGTCTCACTCAGCGAGCCCGACGAGAACCGGGACTGAGAGGAAAGAGCTCTGCTGTGGCCGACACCCGAAGTTCTAGTCCTGTCTCAATCGACCATAGCCCCCTTTTTGTGGGATTCTTACAAATTCTAGCTTCGGGTTTACCACAGGGAGTTACGACTAGTCTAAGGCAAACTCTACACCCAAGGCGCCCCAGCGCCGACTCGATGAAAAGGACTAGCCCTGGTCGTCTTAGCGACCTTGTTCAACTGGCCCTGAGCCCCGAACCCCAGCTACGTCGAAAATCTCTTCTTCAGCAGTAGAGAAGCAACTTAGTTGCAAATTGCCCAGCATGAGTTCCGTGTTGGAGAAGGCCGCTGTGGCCGATGGTTCCTGTCTACGGTGATCAGGCGCAGCAGGGGCGGGGCGGCGGTGCGAAGAAGCGCCGCAAGGTCCTGGTCCCGAAGAACCCCGTGGATGCGTTCTTCGGGATGCCCCGCGATTCCGAAGGCAGCTGACTAGAAGGCTGCGGTGGCCGTACCAGGCATGCCAGATCTGCCAAAGCGCGTCACCTCGCTCACGCGAGGTGAGTTCTTTTCAGCATGGGGCACTTGCTCCCCCACTGCACGTGACCACAAACCAGGTGTATTCCTGGGCTTTGGAGTACCATACTTTAATACTTTTTTCTTAAAGGAACCATTATGAAATACAAGTTATTTTTTCTCCCTGGTTACTGAAAAGCCCAGATTCCAACTCTTACCACAAACTCGCCAAGCTGGGCATGAGTGGGGATGTGCCAGGAGCCGAAAGCACGCAGGCTAAAAACGTGCAAGTTGTGATTAATTACTGGGATATGCATATTTGTAGATAGAGAGAAAGAGAGAGAGAGAGAGAGAGAGAGAGAGAGAGAGAGACAGACAGATATGTCGGTACACATAGATTAGATATATACGATCTTTTCTTATGAAGAGACGTTTTCTGAGCTCTTTTTTTTGCCGGGCTCTCCGAGACTTTTTGCTTGTCCCCTTTCCAGGCACACGCACGCGTGCGCGCTGCGATGAGGCCAAGTTCAATCTAAATCGGGCCGTGGCTTGTCAGGGGGTGTTTTAGGGTCTTTAGGGTGGTTCGGGCATTTAGCGTTGTTGGGCTTTTTTGGGGTTTGAATTTAGGTTTGTCACTGGGAGTCGTTCAAGTTTAGGGTTTGGGATGGTTTAGGCAGTGTGTGCAGCTTGTAGTCAAGCCCGGCGCACGGATCCCTGTGTGCCCCTACCTGTGAGTAGAACTTTGCGAGGCCGCGAAAGCTGGGAGTTCTGCAGCAGGATGAGGCGCGGACAGAAGCTAGACCGTGCGAGCAGCACCACCCTGCAAATAAAGCGGACTGCAATGGAACAGACTCACAAACCCTAGGCCCTAAACCCACAACTACGCAATACCACTGAGCTTCTAGAAAGATGCTGAATGAAATCAAGCTACATTCCTTTCAACCCCTTTTCAACTTCAAGCCACTAACCTACCTCACACCACACTCTACACCCCAACGCCAAACCCCAAAACCAAGCCAACCCTACGTAGTCCCTAAACCCCAACCCCAGGACCCCTAAAACCTCACTCCAACTCTGAATGCCCCATAGACCCCTGTTAAAGGAACCCTAAACCCCCCAAACCCTAAACCCTAAACCGGATCCCATTCATTCCTTCGGCGATGGTTTTGGGTTCAGGTTGAGCAGGGCCTCGGAAGGCACGAGCTCTTCGAGTTGAGCCGCTTCGCTAAGGTTTAGGGTTTACACACTTTAGGGTTTAGGGTTTGCATTTCCTTGCGAGTCTCCTTTGGGGATTTTAGGGCGCTGTTCATGCATTTTGAAGGCTATTCCGGAGCTTCTTAAGACGTTTTAGTGTTTGTTCTAAGGCTTTTGGTGTTTGTTTTTTTGCGTGCTTGGGGTTTAGGGATTTAGGGTTTGATCTCCTTCCAAGGGTCCTAAACAGGTTTCGTTTTCTGGGTACCTGCAAGGGGTTTTATCAGGGCTGCATGGGTGCACGGCTTAGGGTTTAGGGTAGAGGTTATATCAGGGTTCCGGGTTTCAGGGGGTTTTGGTGCTCAGGCTGTAGCAGGGCAGTTTAGTACAGGCTTGCTTCAGCATTCTGGCTTCAGAAATCACGGCTTATGACTAGAACTATTTGGTTTGGGGATGTTGGTGTTCAGAAACGTGCAATTAGGGTTTATGATGGTTCTGGGTTGGGGGGTCACCAAGCGATCCCTTCATCCAGAGCTCGGAAAATGTATCGTGTACCGCAAAATCCCATTCTTAAAGGCACCCTATATGAATCAAGCCATCCATTTTTCTCTAGGGCAGCTATAGCTAACGCGCCAAGACGCAGAACACCTCCAAAACCCAATGGCATCGAACCTTTCAAACCTTCTTGCCCCGTTGGATGCTAAGAAGCCTAAGCACCAGCGCAACGAAGCCTTGAACCCTTCCCCTAAGGGTCCTAGGTACTGTTATGGGGAATACTGCCCCAAATCATAATAGTAGTTCCTAAAATAGAAACCCTACATTCTACTATATAGTTACTTTGGACCCTTGGGTTCAAAGCCTCGAAACCTGAAACCTCAAAGCTCCCTTTCGACACCCTGCCCCGCAACAACAAAGATCTGAATCCCGATGACTTCGATGACAGCTGCAAAGAAATTCTATGCGGCCAAAACGCCTGGCTCTGAACCCTGGAGGCCTCAGAGAGCGATCTTATGAACTCCAACGAACCCACGTAAGCTGTAGAACTTCCTCATCAACACTAGCACTAGCAGCCCTGGGTGAATCTTCATGAAATTCTGTAATGTGGCATGTAAGCCAGATCCTGATCCTATCAAACACTGTCAAGCCATACATTTACACTAGGAAAGTCCCCAATCCTTTTATTGCCTAAACCAGAAAGCCATTCGGAGCACATCAACAAGCCCTAAATCCTTCTAGAACCCTTATCATCATCAAAATGTAGATCCCTAAAAGAACTGTAAGGGAACCCGAAGCCCCCCTCCAGCACCCTTATAGATGCCTCAACTGAATCATCATGACTCCCAGGCAGCCCCTCAAAGTCGTTGGTCGGATTCAGCGTCATCGGAGAGCTGGAGGAACCTTGGCTGAGAAGAGACGCTTGGGAACTTTTGAAGATCTTCGTTACAGGTTTGGAGGGTAGGGTCTTACCAGTTATACCATTGGTATTGTGATAAAGGGGGGTTGCATGGCGTTCTTCTTCGGTCCTTGTAGTGCATGTAGGGTTGACGTAGAGAGTAAGGGGTTTTGGGTGATTTAATTGCAGTAGGTCTCTGGGTGGGCTGACGCCTCTTAGGGTGTGACCCTCAGAAGTTTGAGGGTTTGGCCAAGTCTTGTCTGGGGTGAGAAGGTTCTGGGTTTTAGATTCCGGTGCAGATTGGGTTGGGTTTTGATTCCATAGAGAAGCCCAGATGGTCAGACTAGCATGTTGGTGCTGTCTATACAGTATTCATATCAAGGAACCTTAAAGTCGTAAAGTTGAGGCAGCATGGTACAGATGGTCCTCTACAGGCTCTTACTACGCAGCAGCATCCTCAATATTGCCACTTGCTGCTTCCGAATTTGATTCCGCTATCGGGCCCCTATCCGTTAAGTACTTAGTTTTGAGCCGCTGCACGTAAACCGCCCGAAGTCCCAAACATTCTTCCTCTTGCTCAGTCTGGCGTGATGCAGCTGAAGCTTCAGATGAAGCTGCTTGGATTCAAGCCACATTGCAACAACAGGGGTTATAAGGAAATCCACAGTGCATGCTGTTGCTGTTTGTTCAGTGGCCCTGAGTCAAGCCCTTTGCTGGCCTCAGATGATTGGGATATCAGATGGGAGCGCCAGGCACCATCTGCCTGATGCTCTTTCGACAGGCGTACAGGGTCCGATTTAGGACCTACAGGTCCTAAATCCTTCGTGATTCTCCATCTCTGGCAACTACTTCGGAGATCTTCTTGCATAATTGCGGCTGTGTTTCCCTGTGCTTCTCCTCCCTGGATGAGTATGTAAGCTTGGTTCGGCTTTGGTGGAGGGGGGTTCAAAGATTCCTTAACACTCAGAACTGAAAGTGTATGTATATTTTGTATGTGCGTATGTATGTATGTATGTATGTCTGTTTGTATATTATATATATATATATATATATATATATATATATATATATATATATATATATACATATATATATATACATATATATATATATATATATACATATATATATATATATACATATATATATATATATATAACTGAATGTCATGTATATGTACGTGCGAGAGTTACATGATTCATGAGCCGATTGGAACCCGTTGGGCTTCCGTGGGAACCCATCAGGTTTGGCCCCATCCCGTCGCCAGAGAAGACCATCCCTCTGCCACTGGGCGCTTGGGTTTTAGCAGCACTTTGTAAGCAGGAGCCGCAGAGGCTTTGTTTTGTGGGGGCTTATGCTTTTTGAAATGGTGGTTTGTAGGGTTTTGTTAGGGTGTTGGGGCTTTGGGTTTAGGAAGTTTGAGAGGCTCAACCTCGCAGACCACTTGCGAATTACCCTGGCGGCGATCCCCTTCATCTCCCAAGCGCTGGGCTCAGGATCTCGCGTTCCCTGTGTGTTCGCTTCAATATGTAGTCTTTTGGCCTTAAGGTCTCCAGTTATGTGGGTGGTTGTCAAAATTAGGGTCCCTTTTTGGGTTCCTATTATTCTGACACCTACCCGTGTGGCTTGTGCATCCGTTGGTGGCATTAAGGAGTTCCAAAAAAACCTAAACCGTAAATCCTACAGGAGTTCAATACAAAAACCTAAACCCCAAACCCTAAACCCTAAGCCAAGGGCCTTCTTAAGCTGCCCCTGTACCCTGAAAGTTTCCCAGAGCCCCAAACCATAAAAAGCCCCGGGCAACAGCCCTAAACCCTAAAACCTGGGGTCATACTTTAGGGCTTCAGGGTCCAGTAGGGTGCTAGAGGGTTTAGGGTTTTGAGTTTGAAGTTTGGGTTTTAGGGTTCAGGGTTTAGGTTTATAGGGATCAGTTCCAAGTCTAATCAAAAAGCCTAAGTCAGCCCTTTGAGGCCAGCAAACAGAAGGCCGTCGACGCCTTCTCATCGACAGACCTCGAGCCCTACATTCCGCCAACTCACGTACTAGGCCTTAAGGCTTCGGGTTTAGTTTGCCTTCAGGGTTTCGAGGTTACTTTTTCGGGTTGTAGGGTTTCGGGGTTTAGTAGAACACCCCTTGCCTAGAGCGCTGTCCCCGCCCATACGCAACCCCTTTGGCAAGACCTTGTCGAATGCCTTTCTGGGATGATTCTTACCAAGGGTAAACGGAGGGACCCTTAATAGGGACCCCTAGGTATACACCCTTAATATAGCTATTATATACCCATGATATAGCCCATTATAGGGTAGGGGTCCCCATTAAGGGTCCCTCCTTTTCCCCTTTGACTCTTAAAGCTCTACAAACCTGAGCCCTGCACATGAACCTCCATAGCCCCTCAAGCCTAGAACCTGAAGAAAAGACGTCTCACATGCTGCGACTATCATACAGAAGCCTACGCACCTCGACCGGCCATATCGCTGAAGTAAAACGGTTCGGAGGGCCCTAGGGTTTAGGGTTTAGGATTTAGGGTTTAGTTAGGGGGGCCTAATAGTGTTTCAGTAGTCTGACTCGCAGTTGGAAAAGCTGATTTTGAAGCGCGGAAAGCCGTAGAGCCCACACATGCCAGACCCAACCGCCCCCGTGTCAAAAACTTGACAAAGCTGCCTGTGTGAGAAGCCCACAAAACCCTGCCAGCCTGTCAGACCGCATATAGCCACCCTTTAAAACCTCCAACCTCGGAGCCCCCCATATCTATAAGATCCTTAGGAATTCTTTGTTTATCATTATTGTTTGCGTAAAAGCCCAGAGAATATTAAGCATATTATGCTGTTATGGTTATCAGGGGGGTAGATATAATAACCCGAAAGCCCACAGACCATAAAGCCCATCCCTGTCAGCCCAAAATGGTAAAGCCCAAACCTCTTCATCAGGCAACACGCCCTAGATTGATGTAAGAATCCCTTTTGCAAGACAGATGTGCATCACCTGCATTCGGATGTTCCGCATATGAAAGCATTGCATACCGAAGCCCTCAATTGCTCTGAGAAAAGAAGTGCATGGTAGCGGAGCACTTCGGTGCTCCAGGGCCTGCTACTCTCGTAATCCCGAGGCTCGTGAGGACCCTCCTGTTTCACTCAATAGTCTTCTGCTCTGTCACTGCCATTTGCTTGGCTGACATTTTCTCTCAAGTCACTGCGGTTCACTCTGCTGACTTTCTTCTTTTATTTGGCGGTTGCATCAGTGCGTGTGGGCCTGGTGAGCCAGCCGGAGTGCCTCTTTATTTTGGTGGTGGCCTCAGTGCTTGCGGGCCTGGAGAGCCATCCGGAGCGGAGTTTTCTTTCTGGCTCAGTGCGTGTGAGGAGCTGGGTTTTGGGTGCAGTAGAGCAGAACAGAAAGTTTTTGGTTTGTGTGGAGAAGCTGCCTGGAGGTTTCCACTTCTGGGGGCGGTGAGGAAAGCCCAATACGCTATGTCGGGGACTGTGCCAGCAGCGCAGCCAGGAGGAGGAGCAGCGAGCTCAGTGGGACAAGATGTGCAGGAGCGCATAGATGCCATTGTGAAGCAGCGCCTGGAGCAGGCGTTCGGAAGTGTGTTTGGGAAAGTGCTGACCGCTACTGAGCGGGCAGCCGTAGCAGCGGAGAAGCAAGCGGATGCATCGAAGGTGGAGGGCATTACAAAGGCCCTGCGAGTGGATGTGTGGAAGCCAGCCAACCGTGAGGAAGAACTTCGTGGCTGGCGTGAGTGGATGTTCCAGCTTCGGACCTGGCTTGCCGCTCATGATGAGCGGTTTGAGAATGACATTGAGGGTCTCGATGATGACAAGGAGGTGGACCACGCCCTCATTGATGATGACCAGGTCCGCCGCAGCCAGAAGTTGTTTGGAGTGTTGTGCAGCCTGCTGCGCAACCGGCCTCTTTTGCTGGTGCGTGGCTTTGAGAAGGACAGAAACGGCTTGGAGGCCTTGCGCACCCTGCGCAAGGAGATGGAGCCAAAGGAGCGGTCCCGCTCTTTGGCCATCGTCAAGCAACTTGCCACCTGGACATTCAAAGACGGCGGGCTGCATGAGCAGCTCATTGCTTTCGAAGATGCCATCAAGAATTATGAAGCCAGCTCAGGAAACACTTACCCTGAGGACCTCATGATTGCCACGGTGACCACGGGCTTGAAGGAGCCTCTGAGGAGCCAGGTGCAGTTGAGAATGAGTTCCTCTACGAAGTACCGTGACATACGCGAGTGGGTGCTCCAATGGGAATCGGTCAATGCCCCTTGGTCTTCATCTTTGCCGGCGGCCCGAGGAAGCAAGCCTGACAGTGGCGGCCCACAGCCGATGGATGTCGATGTCATCAAGGGCAAGAAGGGCAAGGACAAAGGAAAGAAAGGCAAGGGCAAGGGCAAAGATGGAAAACCCAGTGGCAAGGGCAAGCAGGACTGGAACCAGAATGCTGGATGGCAAAGCAATGCTTGGCACGGCGGGTGGCAAAACAATGCGTGGAACAATGGTGGCTGGAACCAGGACAAAGGCGGAGGAAAGAACCAGCCGAAGGGCAAAGGAAAGAGCAAAGGCCAAGGTCATGGGAAGCAAGGCTCATGCCACATATGCGGCCAAACTGGCCACTGGAAGAATGAATGCCCTAAGGGAAAGGGCAAAACGGTGCGCCAGGTTGAAGTTGAGGCTGTCCCTTCCTCAGGGCAGTCGGTGGCATCAGCCACCACGGCAGCAACCAGTGCCACAGCGTATCGGACACCGAGCGTGGTGCAGCGCATTGCTCTTTCGACGCCACCGCAGTGCCGTGAGACCTTTATCTTCGACATGGCCGAGGAGTTCGAGGAGTTCGAGCTCGAAGGGGGTGCCATCAACATGATTCAGATTGCCGGTGTTGCTGTGGAAATTGCGGCCCATGAGTTTCCGGAGGTTCCCCACTTTGCCATGGACGCGACCGATGACGATGAAGAGTGGACTGTGTGCCCGGAGCTGTGCTATGATGAGCCGGAGAGGGAGCATGTGGCAGTGATCAACATGGTGCGGGCAACAGCCACAGCCCAGCATACAAGCAAAGCTGTCGATGTTGTGGTGGATTCTGGGGCTGATGTGTCAGTGGCCCCACTTGAGTTCCGAAGCCTGGGCCGGTCAAGCCCCAACAGCAACGTCTTGATGCAGGACGCCCAGGGGAAGCAGATTGTGAACCATGGGTCTCGAGCGCTTGTGGTCGAGGTTAAGGACATCAATGGCGAGACGGCGGTCATCAAGGAGCGTTTCTTGCTTGCCGAAGTGAGCTCTTTGATAATATCTATGGGGCGCTTGCTGAGAAACGGATGGTGCCTGGGCCATGTGAATTCAGGTCCTGTGATCTCCCGAGATGGTTGTGTTTTGCCAGTTCGGCTCCGTCGGAACACGCTTGTGATGTCGGCCATTGTCTCAGCCATTGCCGTGCTGGACAGTGGGCCTTTGCCTCCTCCTGCTGAAGATGTTTGTGGAGTTCCTGGGTGGCACGTGCTTCCTTCCGGCCTTCCTTTCCTTGTGCACCACCACACCTTGGAGGTGCCATTTGAATCCTGGCTGTGGTCCACCGAGGATTGGACTCATGTTGCTGTGTTTGTGCGCAAGGAAGCTGCCACTCGAGGACCCCAGCCCGGTGATGTTTGGATTCAGGTGCTCAGTACCACGACCGAAGCCTTCGAGAACATGCCAAAGAGGTTGGATGCTTTGGAGGCCGAGCTCACGGGGTACCATGACGTTGCAGTCCTCTTGCATGTCGTCGAGATGGAAAAGAACCTCTTGAGCAACCCCAGCGACTACTTTGAGGAGGAAGCTTGGGAGGATGCGCCGATGCTTCCTAATGAACCCCAGGATGCTGAAGAAGATGAGGCAGATGACGGCCGTGGCGTTGGTGATGTGCTTGCCGAAGGTCGTGCACCGCGGGGTCAGGAAGCTGACGATGATGGACTTGAACTTGATGGTGTGCAGCTTTCGGTTGGAACGCCACTTAGGGAGCTCAAAGCCTTGTGCCAGCGCCTTGGGCTGGCAAAGAGTGGGGGAAAGGCTAAGGTGCTGAGGCGCCTTAAGGAGCACCGGGATGTGATGGAGCGGCAAATGGCAACCCAGATTGCCCAGCAGTTGTTCCGTGAAGGAGACCGTGACCCTCAGCCATTCAAAGTGCCAGTCCTTCCCAGCAGGCGCCAGCAGGAATTGCATGAAATTACCCATCAACCTTTCCAACCTTGGTGCCAAGCTTGCCTGATGGGTCGTAGCCGCCAGTCTCCTCACCGTGACCAAGAGCCTGCTGAGTCTGATGCTGGCCCTCGTGACGCACGGCCGCTTATGCAGATCGACTATTGCTTCACCTTTACGGATTCAAAGCAGATGATTCAGGACGAGCAGGCCGGTGAGATTGATGAGCCGGTGGCCGGGGACAGTGCAGAGGAGAAGGACGAGGCAGAGAAAGCTGAGAAGCCAAACTACATGGACCAGTTCGGGCTAAATTTGGTGGCTGCTGAGTCGTCGAGTGGATGGGTGGCTGCTCTGCCACTCCTTGCCAAAGGTGCTGTGTCACTCAAGAAGACCACGGAGACCCTCACCCGTCTCAGCATGCAACTTGCAGGTACCAATGAGATCATCCTGCAGGGCGACCCAGAGCCATCTGTGCGCCAGGTTCTGAACAGCGTCCAGGCTTGTCGCACAAAGCTTGGCTTGAAGACGACTGTGAGGGAGGCCCCCAGAGGTTCCCATTCATCCAATGGCTTAGCCGAGAAGGGAGTGAGCACGATTCGGAGATTTGGCCTGACTTTGAAAGCTCACCTTGAGGAGAGGATCCAGGCCAAGCTGGGTGGACATGTTCCTTTGTTCTCCTGGTTGCTCCAGCACGCCAGCTTCTTGCACAACCGCTACTTTGTGGGACATAAGGGCTTACCAGCCTGGGAGGTTGTGCACGGCCGCCGCTTCTCACAAAGACTCCTACCTTTCGGTGAAGTGTGTCTCTTCTACCTCGGGAGCAAGTTCAAAGGAGATCTTCAATGGCAAAAGGGGGTGTTTGCAGGAGTGAACGAGCGGCGCGGAACTTATGTTCTTCTCACGCCCGATGGTGCCAAGGAGAGCCGTTCGCTTAGAAGACTTCCCCGCGAGGATGCCTACCCGGCCGATTTTATCCTCACGGCCAAGGGCTTGCCATGGGATGCTCAGGGCAAGACCAAGCGGCAAAGGCCGCTGTACACAGCAAGACCGGGACTCCTTCCCGACAGTGCTACGCTTGAGGAGCTTGCCAAGGCTGCAGGCCGCGCTGCAGCCGAGAGCATAGCAGCGCAAACCCCACGGCCTGGTGATGAAGCTGCGAGTGATCCTGAAAGCTCTTCATCGCCTTCCTCTTCTACTACCAGTGCAAACAGCCCAGCAAGAGCAGCAGCCCCAGCAAGCAGCGAGCCCAACAGAGAAGCAGGAACAGCCGCAGAAGAGCCCAACAGAGGAGCAGGAACAGCCACAGAAGAGCCCAACAGAGGAGCAGGAACAGCCGCAGAAGAGCCCAACAGAGAAGTCGTGAGTGGAGCCAGCCGTGACAGCATGGTCGTTGACAGTGAGTCGCAGCGTGCAGGTCCACAGGAGTCAGTTCCCAAGCGTCCTAGGTTGTTGCTAGACAAGCCACCAAGTGGGTCTCCTTCAGCAAGCTCGTCGCTGTTTCCACCAACCTTTGCAGGCATCAGGGAGATCCAGAGAACCCATGGAGACATCCCTTTGGAGGAGCTCACGGGGTGCGATGATTGGCTTGATGATGTGGTTCCCGTGTTGGACCAGGAGCCGGAGGAGGACGATTGGGAGGACGACAGGCCTCCTGATGTGTCGCCAGATGAGTTGGCAAAGCTGGACCTCGCTGCAGACAAAGCCGAGGTCGAGAGGTTGGTCGCCATGGGTGTCATGCGACCTCCTTCCGAAAACGACGACCTGGCCAACTACTCAGTCCTGACAACCAAAGTCGTCAGGGATTGGCGGCGACGTCCCAATTGGGTCAGACGCTCACGACTAGTGGGCCGTGAGTTCAAAGCCTGGACCCCTTGGAGCCAGGACTTGTTTGCCCCAGCCAGCACATTGGCCACAGTGCACGGGCTGATGAGTCTCGCCCAGGCCTACGACCTGGAACTGGTGACGCTAGATGTGAAAGATGCGTATCTTAATGTGAAGCAGAAGAAGCCGGTGATCATCTATGTGGACGCGAGACTGTTCGATGAGGGCCAAGGCGAGGAGCGGATGATCCCCTACATTCTCGAGTATCTCCTCCCTGGTCAGAGAGCCGCAGCCAGCGAATGGTTTCAGTACTTCACGGGGCTCCTGGGGCAGGCGGGGATGGAAAGCTTCGGGAAAGAGCCTACCCTCTTTCGCAACAAGGAGGCACAAGCTCCACTCTCAGGACTTGTGCTGCATGCCGATGATGGTCTTCTCGCTAGCAAGAAGGAGTTTCGTGAAAAGTTGGTTGGCGAGTTGAGTCAGCATGTCACCGTGCAAGTGAGTGAGCCTTTGAAGTCTATTGGCTCTGAGCTGAGCTTCCTCAAGAGGAGCTACAGCATGCATGAGGATGGCATCCACATGCACTCCGGGCGAAGGCATGTTGAGGGCCTTCTTGAAGCACTCGAGCCCGGTGTGAAGCTTAAGGATGCTCCAACGGATGCCTCCTTTCTTGAAGTCGACAACAGCCCGGAGCTCAAGGCAGATCGGGCAAAGGTGTTCCGTGAATGCATTGGACGCCTCCTCTACCTCAGCCACTCCCGTGCCGATATACAGTTTGGCGTGTGTATCTTGGCGAGCAAGATGGCGAAACCCACGATGGTTGGGTGGAAGCAACTCTATCGTCTCGTGGGCTACTTGAAGAAAGTGCCTTGCCTGGGATTCAGAATTGGGCCAGCCACCGAAGGAGCATGCCTTGATTTTCCCGAAGGGTCGCCAACATCGGGGAAAATTATCCTTGAGTCAGTGAGTGATGCTGACTGGGCAGGCTGTCGGCAGACTCGCCGCAGCCGATCCTCAGTCCACTTCTACCTGGCGGGATCCCTCATCGGGAGTTACGTGCGCAGCCAGCGGACAGTGGCAATGAGCTCAGGGGAATCGGAATTCCTGGCCATGATCAGCGGTGCATGTGAGACGGTCTACCTCAAGGACTGTTTCGAGTACCTGCTGCGAGGCATCACCGAGTTGGAGGCAGTGCTGAGATCCGACTCAGCAGCAGCAAGAGGAGTGAGCCAGCGAGTCGGATGTGGACGCGTCCGGCACCTCTCTTGTGCCAACCTTTGGGTACAAGCAGCAGTGAAGTCCCAAGTCTTGAAGATTGGTCCCATCTCTGGAAAGAGGAATCCCTCTGATCTGGGAACGAAGCCACTCACAGGACCCAAGCTTCGTGAACTGCTCTTCAGGGCTGGCGCGGTCACAGAGAGTGGTGATCGTTATGGTGCCGAAGAAGCAGATCTCGCAGACCAGCGCGACAACGTGAACCGCATCATGAAGAGCGGTGGGTTGTCATCTACCGGAGCAAAGAAGTTTTTGCCTGTTTTGTTGATCCTCGCGCAGGCCATGACGGCAGAGGGTTATGAGGGCTTGAGCTTGGTTGCGGCAGCCGGGTTTGCCGAGGACACGATGGCACAGATGATTTCAGCAGTAGCCATTTTGGTTGCAACAGTTTTGGTGGTGTGTGGCGGGCCATGGGCTGCATTTTGCGGTCTGAAGTGGTTGCTCGGATGGAGCAGCACTGGGAAGCAAGCCGCCACGACAACATGTGAGGTCGGTGTGCAAGCGAACCTGGGCATGAGCAAAGCAGAGCAAAAGTTTGTAGACGAGTACGTTGACAGGGCCACTTTCCTCAGAAGCTCTCTCTCAGAGGAACACAGAACAGTGCTCCAGTGTGAAGAGGCCCTAGTTGAAGTTCGCGAGGAGAATCGCCGTCTGCAAGCTGAGCTGACCAGAGCTCGAGCGCAAGGTGCAGGCCGAATTGCATTGTCCACGAATCGTGGGCGAGTGTATCATGTGCCTGGTTGCCATGCCCTGCGTAACAGTAACAGTGTACGTATGTTTGAAGCATGCCAGTTTTGTGTTGGAAACCGTTGAATTGCAGGTGTCTTGGACGGCTAGGCGTTTAAATGTAAAGACCTAGCCGAGGCGGGGTGCAAGACAGATGTGCATCACCTGCATTCGGATGTTCCGCATATGAAAGCATTGCATACCGAAGCCCTCAATTGCTCTGAGAAAAGAAGTGCACCTTTCGAGTTTAAGTTGGCTATCTTCCTTATGCACAGGGCTTGATATTGGAGTTTCTTGCTGAAGACCATTTTCCTCATTCCCAGACCTTCCAAAACCCCTTAATTAAGGAATATACCTTAAATCATAATAGGTCCCTAATATGATTTAAGGTATATTCCTTAATTAAGGGATTTTGGAAGGTCTGGGTTTATGAGCCTTGGGGTCTCTGTCAGGCCCGCTGCCTCTGACCAATGGCTGGGCAGACTGGGGTTCTGGTTTCCTCGGCAGCAACCTTTTTAGGGTTCAGGGTTTAGGGTTTAGGGTTATACAGGTACTTTGGCCCCATGTACCTAAATAGTATATACATCGGCCTTAATGTAGTTCCTATACAGGTACTTTGGCCCATGTATCTCTATATGGGTACATGCACCCTTAAGGCAAGATTTGAAGGTTTTTTCTTGTAGGGTTAGTAGGGTTCGGAAAAAACTTGCCCAGAGTAATTGTGTACCATGAGATGTACCCCCAAAACTCCTTTCTCTCATTACAGGATTCTCAAAGGGTTCCGTAGGTTTCTTTCGAATTCGTGTTCAAGGCTGAAGGAACAGGTGCTGTTCAGGCTTCCTTTAGGGCTTCATACGTCGTCTTTTGTAACTATCTGGGTTGTCCTTTGGTATCTTTTTTAATTTCCCCTCCTATTTTGTAGAGGACCATAACAGTACATGAGTTTCAAAGGGCTTAAAGGACAACTCAGCTATGTGAACGCTTCGTGCCTGCATCCGTCGCTCAGGTTACTCCAGCCCCACCTATGTGCTTGCGAAGGGCCTCTGCAGTGTGCAGGCTCTAGTCTCCCGCCTCAATAGTCGAGTTACCAGTTGATCATCCTTTAATGGGGTTTAAGGTTCCTTTTTAAGGGGTTTAAGGGGTTTAGGGTGTTGAGTATAGTCTCCTTAAGGATCCTAAAAGGGAACCCCAAAAAGGAACCCCAATGGAGACTATGGTAGAATTTCGAGGTACCAGTTGATCATCCTTTATTGGCCCGTCCCCAAGCCCAAAACCCTGAAGCCTGAACCCCGAACTACTGTCCCTGACCCGAAACCCTATTTCAGGCAGAGCATGTGATTTTTGGAGCTCGGCACGCGTCAAGTATTTCTCTCCGCCTTTGATGTCTCAAGCTGCAGGAGTAGGTTCTGCGGTGCGGGCGACTGTTTGTTGTAGGAGTTCGCAAGAGGTTAGTGTGACAAGCGGCCATATTTGTGAGTCATGCCGACCAATTGTCTCATGTAAAGCACTGTAGCACACCTGAACCATAGACCTTAAACCGTGACACCGTCAGACAAAGGTCATGTGTGCACACTCCAACCTCGTATGATGCGAGTTTCGTTTCCAGAAGCTTCGGAGTACTTGTCACGTAGTTTAAGGCTTCTGTAAGGGAAGTCGGCTTAGGGTTCTATACTGTGCGGATCCTGTAAGGGTTCTAGAAGGGCTCCCGAAAGTGTTTGAAGCTTTTAAAAGGCCACGCCATGGAGGCACAGGCCTGGCTCGCTTTGGCCCTCCGACGGCTTCTAAGGCAGTGCACACAAGCCGACAGTTTGCGGAATCTGTCGGATTTTGCCGTGTTTAGTGGGGCTTACAAGGTTTTCGGTGCGAGGTTTAGGGTTTAGCATTTCCACACCGACTAAGGAAGTCTCCGCAAATTGGACATGTGGGTTTCAATGGTAGCCCTACCCTCAAGGTCCAAGCGCTCCTCATGTAATGCTTGTTGTTCGATATTTTTTGGTGCAACAAGCATTGCATTGTGGGTCCTGCGTGATTACACTGTATACTCGTGCAGTGAATAGACCCCCGGACCGCTTTACAACGGCGTTACTCAAATCTCATATGGGCGGTTGTCAATATTAGGGTCCCGTTTTAAGGCCCTGATAGAATACGGCACCTAACATTTATAGTGCCCAAACGGGACCTTAATTTTGACAACCACCCATACATATAGATCCCTCAGAAGAACCCTGAACGAGCCTTTTGAGCCCTAGTCCTTCTAGCAAGTAGTACCCGTAGTTTAGGGGTTTAGGGTTTAGGGATTATGACCTTCTTTTGCCCTCCTTGTAATCTTATCGTACCCTTGCAGCTCCCTCCAAGTACCCTTCTGGTAAGTAAGCTTGTAGTACCCTTACAGTAACTTTCCAGAGCCCTCTTGATCGCTTTATAGCACCCTTATGACAGCTTCATTCGCACCTTACAAGAACCATATCGTACCTTAGCCTTGTAATTCCGATGGAGCCGACCGTTTGAGACATGCCACCTACGTAGTCCCGCTAGCCGCTGTAGTACCATATAACACCTTTATCGACCCCCTTAAGGGTAACCCTCCATAGTATCCTGATGGTGCCCTATGCTGTCAGGCAGTGGAAGGCCTCCGGCGCCGTGGTTTGTCTCGTGGCCGCTTGTGTTGCGGCCTCTTGACTGGTCTTTAGAAGACTGTTTCTAGGGTTTCGGGCTCCAGGGCTCAGGGTTACTATAGGGGCATCAATAAGATGCCCTGCCAAAACCCGATTCTGTTCTAACTATTAGAGGGTTTACAACCAGGGCTTTGTAGGATAATCGACTTTCAGCCCCGAAGCCTTATGTACATACTCTATAGTAAACCCCATAAAGTTGGAAACTGGATTAAGGACAAATAGTGCTGGGATTCCCTATACATTACTCTTAAGGATTGAGGCTATTGGGTTTCCAACTTTTTGGCTTATACTGTAATCTTGTGGCGGAGTTGGGGTCTGGGGATGTACGAAAAGGCTTGTCGAAGTACCAGAGAAGTAATTAATGGGAAGTAGTGTCTCTCTATGTGTCTGCGGAGCAAGTCTTAGTGAAAGTATTCCCCGCAGCACATACTTGCATAGGGACCCTGTGGTATGTGCGTGTGTATATCCCTTCTTCAGACTCTGAGTAGCGGGGTGGGTCGCGGTTTTGCTGTTGTTGGGAAGCGCTGATGTAGTCCTTCCAGGATTAGTTGTAACGGATATCTGATGACTTGGTTGCATCGAAACTCCAAGCTCAATCGCACACGACTCTAAATCTTAAGTTCCATGGTCTATACCTTCAACCCTAAACCCCTAAACCCTAAAACCCTGAAACCCTGAACCTTCGGCCCAAGGGAACGAACCCAAGCCTTCAACCACAAGCCAAAGAAGCCCGAAGCTTGCACTCGAAGCCTTAACCCGAGCCCTAGACCCGAATATACTTAAATAGTGAGCGCGGGAACTTTAAACTTTTTGGCCTTACATATGAGCTCTATCTTAGAAAGTTTGAAGTTTTGGGGGCCCGGTTGTTGAAGAAGGGAGTATAGCCTCCTTTAATCTAGAAGCCCGAGCAATTTGCAACACTCTTCCTTCGGGTTCCTGAACGTAATTATACCACCCCAAAACCTCTTTTCCATCATTAGCCCGTAAACCCAAACCTTACAAACTAAAAAACCATGTTTTCGAGCACTACAACCCTGTCGACGATTCCAAGCCCGATACCTTACCCGACCCAGGTGTTCCGGGCACTCCCCTCTCTCCGGGCCCTAAGGGCCCGGCCTGCGGAGAAGCAGAAGTCGTTTCTGGGCTGTTATTGAACAGAGTCTTTGGTTCTAGGGTTACGGGTTTGAGGTGTTATTGAACAGGGTTTTCGATCTTTGTGTACTACGGGGCCTAAATAAATACCTATACTATTTTCGGGGGTTCCTTATTACAAGTGTAGTATTAATGGGTCCCAAAACCCTATTCTAATTCTCAAGGCCTCCATATTAATTGAACAGGGTTTTCGATTTTAGTATAGAGGCAGGCTTTTAACTTTTGGGTTTGGGAGTGAAGTTTGGCGGAGCATAGTGTAGAGTTTGGCTAGGTGCAGCGATTGCTTAAAGGTTTCGGGTTCAGGGTTTAGGGTTAGGGTTTCGGGTTCAGGGTTTCCGGTTTAATTAGGGTATGAGGCATGCACATCTTTTGTGGCCTTGGTGAGAGTGTTTTTATTTGCACAGTACAGTTTCCAGAACGAAGAACCAAAAGCCCCAAACCCTAAAACCCTAAAACCCTAAACATTCCATGTGGATTCTTGGTGCAGCCTAGATCCCTGCGCCCCGAACGGCACAAAACCCTAAACCAAATGACCCTGAACTGTCGGTATGCGGAATCCCGACACAAGCCATTGCAAGATTACCTATAGTCTCCATTGTAGTCCTTTTTTTGGTCTAACTAGTTCTATATTAAGGATCCTAAAAGGGAGCCCCAAAAAGGAACTACAATGGAGACTGTGGGTAGTTCCTTTGTGTGGAATCCACCTTTCCATATGCATGTCCTGTCGGTATACAGCCGTTGTATGGCTGCCAAGCACCGAGACCTACGGATCTTACCGGCACATCCTCTATCACGAAAACGTCCGAACTATGTTAGGTGATTGGTTGTGTCACCTTAGGTCCCTCAAGTCCTGTACCCCCTATCGGCCCCTATCAGACAATAACAATAACACCTCTAAAAGATGTTTAATCAACCTCCAAAGAACTCGGATAACGGAGCCTAGAACCCATAGCCAGAGTAAAGCAAACAAAGTAAAACTGCAAACCACTGTAAGCACCTTGTTCAGGAGAACGCCTATGATTAGACACCCCATGCCAAAAAAGAGCTAGGATTTCGGACCCCGTCTTTGGCACCGTGGTCTACTCCTATGCAAGGCTCTCGGAGTCTTGGGAGGACTTTTTGGATGCATTTCAGTCCCTTAGTTCTCAAACAGTATGCATTGGGCTTGTTTTTTTTGCTTGTGGTTTGTAAGGTCCAGGATTTAGGGATTTACGGGCTAAGCATTCTTGTTCTTTAGGCTCTCTCATTGTCTAGAAGACAGCATTTGACAAGAAAAGACGATCGCAAACGACCATTGTTCGAACAGTGAACACCGGAACTACGGGTCGAACCTCGGTTGCTTGGTTCTCGGATACCCTAAGAGCTTAGGGTTTAGGGTTTAGGGCTTAGGGCCTAGTGTCGCAGCTGTAGGACTTATGGTTGAGGGGTTTTCTCTATGCTTGTTGAGGGGTTTTCTTTATGCTTGTATACGTACTCTCTCGTGCCCTAAAACTCCTACAAGTCCTACTACACCCTATACAGCTTAAGCCGGAAGCCGTCTAAAACCGTTATGACCCCTCGCCAAACGGTCAAAAAAGGAAAACCCAGGACCCTAAACACACCGAAGCAACAACTGAAACACCCTAACCTCCAAAAATCTAAATCCCAAACAAACCTAACATTAAAGTGCAGTAAGCCCTATATATCCTCAAGCCCTAGCTCAACAGAAAGGTTTCCGAAGGGCTCTCCTATCCGCCAACACATCCGGCAGCTCTTCTCGCGCGAGGACTGTAGTAGTAATAGTTGAAATAGTAGTAATAATAGTAGCAATAGTAGAACTAGCAGTATTGGTAGTAATAGTAGTAACAGTAGTAATAGTCGTACTACCAGTAATAATAGTAATAGTAGTAATAGTAGTAATAGTAGATTTCGCCGTTGACGGGTTCCTTTGAAGGGGTGCTTTCAGGGACTCCTTGGGGCGATTTAGGCTTACGGGTTTGGGTTTCGGGGGGCCTCAGGCTTAAACTCTGAGCTTAGTGGAGTAGTGGTCGACAGTCGGTTTAGGGTAATGGGGTTTAGGGGTTTAGGGTTTAGGGTATAGGGTTTAGGGGTTTAGGGTTTAGGGTATAGGGTTTAGGGTTTAGGGTTTAGGGTTTTAAGGTTGTATACAGCGCGACATGCCAACGGCAAGCGCGAATTAAATGCGAAGAATGTCAGCGACAGCATCGGCCGTGATCCTGCAGCTCTTGAAACCGCAGGAAGCAGACATGGTGAAGAGCGTAGTGCGCGGTAGTGTAGTGGAAGCATACGGAGACTGCGGCTATACCAGGACCCGATTCTAGACACCCTGGCGCTTGCTATAGCATGTCCGAACTGTAAGCAGCCCTTTTGTGAGGACCTGGACGCACAGTTCCAGAGGCTTTTCGATGTCTTGTGCACTGGGTCAACAATGAACCGTCACGACTTCGAACACTTCAGCCGTGGTATCCAGGGGCATCTGCACATTCTGACCGACAAGAAGACCAAGATCGCGCTGCTGTCACCGACGCAGGAGGACCTACAGTGGATTGCAGCAAACTTCGAGAAAGCCTTCCCGGAGGAGCGGCCACTGACCCGGCAGAACTTTCCGGACGTTGCGAAGCTCGTGCTCCTGCGCCGTGTGGTCCGGACGCTCATCGAGTTTGTTGGTATTGACCACATCCAGGGGGGTATGGCTGCTCCTTTGGTGGTCGATATCGCTGTGAACATGGGATCTACAAAGGGTCCCCCGTTTCGAATCCACACCGTGGCGCCGAGCTCTCGGCCAACCCTGGAGAGCGGCGAAAGACTCAACGCCATTTCCGAGTAGTCGCGAAAAGGGCCTTTCTCTATGTGCTTTGCTTTGTCTCCTTCGGGGCAAACCGCCAAATTGAACACATAGCCCCTCAAACTGCCTCTGCTATCCTGCAACACCGCGGCCGCGGGGCAGAACATCTTCCTGGAGAATTATCAGGGCTCCAATTAGCCCGAGGGAGCAATTGCGGGGTCACACTACCGTTGGGCGAAATCCGAGTCTGCGACTCGTTCACAGCGATTGTAAACCTGCAGCCCCTATTTCCCCTACCCCCTCTCAAGGTCCAACTGCTTGTTTACGATCTACGGATTCCCTTTCGGGCCATGCAATATAACTATGCCAGGTTCCCCAGCAATGCACTTTTGCCCTGTTTGTTTTAAGTGTGTATTAATTTAATCTGGACCACCAGAAATCAAGGTTACCTGCATTAATTCAGGTGCAGCGAACTTAGCGGACTCTAGTCTAAGTCTAAGTTTAAGCAATGATTTAGATACAGTTCTCGACAACTACAGGCCCCTTGTTGATGAGTTGCCTTTATTTATGGGCCTTGAAATTCGGATCTCTCCCTTCATTAAAGGAGGGTTCGTTGATTTATATGGCTTTTGGGGTCTTCCATGCGTCACTGCAGCAGGGCTGAAGGCTGTGCGGTCGCAGGGGTTCTGCTACATGACCAAACCCTGCTTACTGAGTGGTCTTACCACAAAGAAGTACTTGAGGCCCTCCGACAAAGTCAAAGTCCGAAAAGTTGCAACAGGATGGTTCTTGGCTTCGAATCTGTGAAATTTTCCTTGTTGTCCTTACAGGACCACTATGTCATGAAGGAATGCATCTAACGCCTTCGCATGCGAGCCTTCAACGGCCTTGGAAAGGTTCTGTTTATTCAGAGGGCACGATGAGGGCTGATACGTGCAAGATGCAGTTTATTGTTTTCGAGCCTGAGCTTCAAACAACTTTATAGCCCAAGATACCAAATACGGGACCCCATTAATTACATGTCATGCTGATTTCCATGGTATGTTGCCGTAAGTTCCCAGAGAGCCCAATACATCCTTAATGAAAGAAAGCAGAAGATGGTTTAATCCTTGAGCCCCTAAACCCTGAAACACCTAAAACCCTCACCTAGATTCCTCAATTGAGGGGGCGATTGCGCTCTCTGCGCTCTTGTACAAGAGCCTGCTTTGGGCTACGATGTGGGGTTACGAGGAACTCCAAGATATCAGGATAATAATGAGCACACTCTTGGTAGGGCTCTGGGACATTATATTTTTCCCTTATTGGGCTTAAGAGGAACATTATTTACTAATATTTTTCAAAGGCTCTAAAAGCCCCACCTAGGTAACCCATAAGAGCTCAGGTAAAAGGAAGTGCCGGCTTCGGTCAGATCGCAGCTTGGTGAGCCGGGGGTCGTGCCGGGATTTAGGAGCTGGTAGGTTCATGTTGATGATGCGTAAACTAAACTATTATAAGGATCGCCCAGAAGCTTTTCCAGGGCTTTAGAAGCGGCTTTATGAGGTTGTTTTGAAGTTTTTTCATCATGGACGGCACCGGTGAACAATGGACAGATCGATGAGGGTAGCTGCTTCAAGACATTACTATTAGATACAGGTTCAACTACAGTTCCCTTGTCTTGGACCGTGGAAACCCAACACCAAAAGAGCACCTCGAAGACAGCAATGGAGGAAGGCACCCTCCAACAAGTAGACAGAGTAAAGCACCTTACGAAGAACACGAAAGCTGCAAACTTAGGCATGGATCCCTAAACCCCAAACCTACGTGGGTGGTCGTTGAAATTATGGTCCCTGTTGGCTCCCTATTATGATACAGCACCTATTATATAGGGTACCCAAAAAGGGACCCCATTTCTCACAACCACCCACGTAGTCACTACATCCGACTTAGGCGACGTTGCCGAAGGAGTGTCGACCCAGCGGCACCCTTATCTTCAACTTGCGCTTTGGCTCTCCTTTTTTCAAAGGGGAAAAGGCGGGACCCTTAATGGGGACCCCTGGGACCCTATAATGGGCTATATAATGGGCTATGCAATAGCTATATTAAGGGTATATACCTAGGGGTCCTTATTCAGGGTCCCTCTGTTTACCCTTGGATTTTTGGGTCCCCGTAGGTTCCTTTCAAGACTCAGAACTGGGTTCCTTCAAGGTTTACTTCGAGGGTCTAGAGTTTAGGGTTTGGGGGCTATTAAGCATCAGAACCGGCATCCACTGTAAGGGTTCTCTTAGAACTGCGAAGGACTGTTCATCGCGTGTTCTTCGCACCAAGGGATCCTAAACAACCCCCTGTAATCAAGGAGTATACCCTACATCATCATACTCAGGCCCCTAAAGCTTTAAGGTATAGAGCCCAATTATGCCGTATTAGGCTTTCTGGGAGATAATTTTTTCCGTGTTGTAGCAGCCGTTATTGCGCTTTAGGGTTTTCAGGCTGATTGTGTGCTCTGGCATGATCTGCATCGCTTTCGGGTATAGGTTCAAGGTCAGTTTTCATGTCGTGTGGATGTAGCTGAGTATACTCGCCAAGGCTCTGGTGCCCAAAATGTGGGAGTTTCAGAAAATTTGGGGTACCTTATTTAGGGGTCCTTATAATAGGGATCCTACTATTTAGGGTATTGTATCAGGGTCCCCTATTTTCGGAAACTCCCATGTATATGTTTTCAACCGGGCCCATGCTTGCTGTCACGCGATGTATGGACTCAGGTTGGCTTAGGGTTCAGCAGACTTCAGGATGTACAGGAAGGTGAGTTGCTACAAAATACTACAAACGGTTTCTCTCTGCATGTATGGCCTGCTGCGATTTGGGGAGTCTTCCTCATTTAGAAGTCTATAAACCCCTTTGCAGCCCTTGTGAAGCCCCCAAAGAGGCTTCATAAAGCCCCTAAAGCCCTATTCAAACGTAAGTCTGCATAGAAGAAAGCTGCAATATCCACACAAAGCCTTACTATGTTTGGACACATGTATAAAGCCCTCGCAGAGCCTTGTGGAAGCCACAAAACTTGTAGAGTTCTCATAACATCCAATCCCCCAAACTGGCCGTCAACCCGAAACTAAAAAGCCAAACGATCCACCAACCAGTCCGAGGAATTCTGGCAACTCCATGGTTCGTGTGGACGTGAAGAGTGAGGGCCAGGTGGTTTGGGTTGCAGGCACTGAAACTCGCTGGCTTGATGAAGTTTGGGTGAGGGGAAGGAGGGGAGGTGTCTTAGAGTGTAGGGGTTCAGGCGAAAGGTTTAGGGTTTAGTGTTGATGAAGAGAGGAGGGAGGAGGTTTTGTTGTGGCTTAGGCCTTAAGGCTAAAGGTTTTTTGTCGGCTTAGTGCTCGTTTTGGGGCTTGAGTCGAGTTTGGAGGGTGTTAGGATATGAGGGTATGAGGATATTCGGGGATTCGGATATGAGGGTTGTACGGGGAGCTTTGCGTTTCTGTTGGCAGATACCACGAAGGGAACAAGCAGACGACTGTCTAGATTTTGGTCCCGGGCCTCTAGACAGGTTCCTGAAAGGATCTATCAGGGATATATAAGGGGTTTGGAATTTGCTGATGCTTGTTGTATACCTTGAAAGAGAGCAAGGCAAGGAAAATTGACGGGTGTTCGAAGCGTTTGGGATTCAACGTCTTATTTGTGCGTCCGCAATTTTGCTTGGTTTGGTAGTGGCAATTCCCTACTATTTAGAGGTTCTGTTCTCTACTTAGCGGGTCAAGGCCTACTATTAATTGAGTAAGGTTTTGGGCTACAGGTGGCAGTGTTCTGATACGATGCTCTGATCAAGATCGTTTTTGAGATTGCAGGTGCGGGCTGGATGCCTCGAACCGACAAGAACTGCTAATAAAGCCCGTTATAGCCATTAAACCTTCATAAATCTCCATGAAGCCCGTTGGAATTCCGAGCGAGCTAGCTATAACGATTTGCAAAAGCTCCAAACCTGAACCCCCAAAACCTGAAACCTGAGATCCTAGACCATGAACCCTGAAAAGCCTAAACCCTAAACCCTAAACCTAAGCCCTTCACCCTTATGCCAGGTAACGCCGGTGCGACCTGGCTCAGCCTCACTGGAATCCTCTTCCCGCCGCAAGGCGGCTGGCCCGTGCCGTGCCTTTGGCAGAAGCAGATGCCTCACGTTTAGCCCGAGGGCATGAGTGACCTACTTTGTAGTACGTTACTGGAGTACATAACATATTCGTAACCTATGCGTGGGTGTAGGGTTCTTCAGGTCCTCGAATGGATTGCAAAGTGTCAAAGAGTTTCGTGAGGTTGTTGCTTAATGATGTGTTCAATGGGTTTGTACCCTCGAACCTCTATAGAAGCTGAGCCTTCATTGCCAATGTTGTCGATGAAATTCTACTCTAAAGCCCAATATCCCATGCAGCAGATTTATGCAGTGTGGCGCTGACCAGCAGAGGTGATGGCCATGGCATTGACAAACATCCTTAGCTCCCCTTTCGTGTTTGCTCACGAACGCAGCGATGATCATCGCAGCATTTGCATTTGGTAGGGTCTTTGAGCCCTATGGACCCTGACTCGTAAATCTCCCTCAAGCCGAAACCCTAAACTAGACCAATCCCTAGCTAATCCCTTAAAATTAAACCATCGCCAAACCCTGAGCCTTCAGATAATAGCAACTCCAGCCCAACAAACCCTACCTGCAGCCCAAGCAATTCTTCATTCTAAGGGTTGGATGTTTCCGGGCATTTAAAGAACAGAGCATGCAAGGAAAACACAAGAGGGAACCCGATAAACCAGGTTTTGGGCCCTAAACCCTAAACCCTAAACCCAATAAACCAGGTTTTGGGCTACAGGTGGACAACACCCGAAACCCTGCTCGCCGCGCCCAGGCTCCTGAACAGCTGGGTCGACTACGACGCAAGCCCCCTGGCCCTTAACCTCAAAGCCCTAAAGTCCTTAAGAACCCTAAAGGCCATTGTAAAAGAAACACAAAGTTTAGGGCTCAGAGCTAGGGGATTACCGGGGATTCCAGGAAATCTGGGGATTGGGATTCTAGCGATGCG